TCAAGCCATCCCTATATCCCCCTTTCATTTTGAAGAAATGATTTTTCCACTTGTATAATAATGAACAAGAAGATGGCTATACACCGAGAAAGAAAGTCATTCATAACCACATGCCTACATCTTTGTGTTTCAATCATTAGCTGGTCATGAATGCATGAGCATGTATACTTTAGCAAGAAAGAAACAAATATGTAGGATTTCCACTTGTTTCCCTCATTTTTGATTTGAGTAAAAGCCGCAATAAAAATGAAATGTTAGACAGCTATATAGCTGCTATACATTTGTACACATATCTGCATCATTATGGTACGAAGTGGCAGAAGCAGAGGCACTGCTATATACAGTGTATAATAAGAAGTGGCAAGCAACTGTCCAGGAAAAAGGCTAAGTTTCGCCCAGTTGGCAGTAAAATAATGGCGTCGTTCACTGGTCTTCCGTGAAAAGAGACGTAGGAGAGGAGAAAAAACGATCGCTCGATGTGCGCGCACAAGCGCTATAATACTATATAGCTATATACTCGGTAAGGAGATAGCTGAGGATGAAGACAAGAAAACGCATAGGTCTCAACTGTCCCGAATTAGGTATACCGATTTTCTCAGCCTTGTCCCGTCCATCACCTTGCTTGTCCCGATTTCTCGGACGTATACTTGCGCGGTAGTGAAAATATTTTTGCTTCAAGCATAGACTCGTAACCGGCGAGCGATCGCGGGAAAATACTAGTGGGCGGGTCCTGAACTGAACCATACGCGCATGCGCATTGACCAAGATCCCCCGATTAATAGTCCCACCTCCTATAGACTCCTTCTGGAAGGTTGAAAAAGGGTAATTCCAATCAGGAGCCTGTCAGGCTGTAGAGTAAGCAGAAGTAAGTTTGTATTTTGTTTAGCTTCAAAGACCCCACGTCCACGGTGCCCGTTGCCCAGAGGTTCTCGCGTGGAGAAGTAGAGGCAAATAGGGTAAGATGGGCCTGTCTGTGATTTTTGACTTGGTTTTGACTCCTTTTTTCGTTTTGTACGCGGATCACGTGATATTTCACTCGCGTGTCCGCGGCTGACGGACGCTGTGCATGTGATGGGTAGCCGCTTTACATTTCTTCAGAGCAGGTGGTGTTGTAGGGTTTCTCGTGGTGTTCTCCAGCACGGAGGAGACGAGGGAGAGCCATGCAGCTGATGCCATGGTAGGGAACCTTCCCACATGTGAATATCTCCCACACTGTCACTCCATACGACCACTGTATATTGAGAGAGCATAAAAGAACTGTTGAGGGGGAAATTTTGTTCCCAATTTGCGGATTTCAGATGCAGCAAAGTAACAAAAAGAAGCATTGTGCCCATTGTATCTGTGCCAGAGCTCATGCGCCTGCAAAATACCCATTGAATCAGATGTGGAACCAATGTTAGCAAACTGCTGGATGCTTTTTCGTACTAGCGCTCTTACCTACGGTGGCCGATAGATGCCACGCCGATTTCCATTCCGTTTTCCATTCCAAATTCCGTTTTTACGTTCCACATTCCGTGTTTATCACCGCGGCCTGTTCCCCATGCGCTAGCGAAGGGAGGACGAGTGAAGTGTGCTCGCCAATACAATCGCTGCTACACGCTGGGAGCGAACTGGGACCGCCAGGGAGATCCTAGCCTCCTTCCCATGCCCCGCAAAACGGTCTACGAGGCTACGATCCTACACGGCCGTCACTCACCGCTAAGGGGGCGTAACCGCGCCCGTGACCGCGGCGCGGCGCTGCTGTTGCGGAACACGTTATGATTGGTAAAGCCCGCTCGAGCGCACAGGGTTTAGTATATAGTAGTATGCTAATTCCCGCCTGCCTTGGTATGCACCCAGATTTCGAGACGCTAGCCACTCTCTTACCCCTATCTGCCAGCTCGCAGGTTAGAAAACCGGAAATCAAGAACAGCATTTGGAAAGCATCGCTGGAAATTGGAAAATGGAATGGAAAACGGAATGAATATCGGCATGGCACCTATCGGCCACCGTACTTACCACATCACTCTTCTCGTTATAAAGGCCCTCCTCAATGCTCTCAAGCGGCATCCACCTGATGGGTACTTTTTTCTCAACTGCATCAACACTACTTATTCCCTGACGAAAGTAGTTGGTGGTGACAGACCAAAGTCAGCCACTTTGACAGTCCCACACATGTCCAGCCTGCACACAATAATGATTCAATGGGCACATATATAGGAGGAATTGAAAAACATCTAGCTACTTACAGACAGTTCCTTGCTGCCAGATCACGATGTACAACCTTGTTCTTTGCCAGGTATTGCATTCCAAGTGCAATTTGTCTCGAGAATTCAATGAGAGTTTTTGAAATCTCATCCACCTGTCAAGTAAACAAACAAACATATCATCTCTAAACTTTGTTTGTGGCTTGCAGAAAACAGATCTATAGTGTATACAGAGTGGGCAACCCTCAATATACCATTTTACAGATTCTTTGCATTTCATTCCAGTAATAAACATACAGACTTCTCAATCACATTTGAGAGTTGGATATTGTCTTGGGTGAGAAGTATCTCTTTGGTATGTGCTGAGAAAGACTCTCCAGTTGAGATAAGCTGAATTTTCCACTGACATCCAGAGTAGTGTGTGAACAAGTTCACAAAAACCAGACAGACAGTCAGACAAACCAACACACAGATAAGGAAGGTAAGTAAAGTCATCATTGACTCGAGCGTAAGTGCATGGCAACAAACCTATGTTTGATCCAAATATGTACTTGTTGCTCTTAGTTCTTTCTCTTTGCTGAGACAAGGCATCCAATTGTTGCCAGACTTCTGAATCATCTATAACACATAATTTATTAATGCTTTTAAGTCTCAAGCAAGTATACAGCTACCTGTTGTGATGAGATCGGTAGTAGATTGATGTAGCTGACCACTACAAATAGGGATAATTATTGCAGCAGATATGTGCGTATTACAAGGTTTGTAGGTAACTTACTGGCTGTTGGCAATGGTCTCCCTGTATCCTGTTAGAAGCAAAAAATACAGATGACAATGAGATACCGAATGACACAGAATGGTTCATGGATAGGGTGCTTAAAATGACTAACTTCTTTTCTTCATCTTTCTTTGCTTGTATCTTTGTATAGTGAAAGCATACACAGGTTAAAATCATTATAACTCTCTCTGTCTCACCTTCGGTAGTAAAGCAGAGAAAAAACGATAACTGCTACCAGTACAATGATAAGCAACAACAGGGCAATGAATCCAAGGACAGAGTCATCTTTAGTAGCTGACTGAGTTGCAGTTGGACTTGTAGCTGTTGTGGAATTTTCAGTTGATTCAAACATCACAGTGACCTTGACAGGAATGGAAAAACTGCCTCCTCCTATCTTGGTTACAGCTTGAACCTAGTAAGAGTCACCAGCATAATTATACAACATCGCAGTATTACAATAAAGATATTTAGAGACTACTGTCATAACAAAACAATGTTATGTATGCAGATGGGTATGTAAGCCTAGACGGTGGAACCTGTTACTGTTAAAAAGATAAGAAACCTAAATCCTTAACACTAATAAAACTAGCAATATTCATTTTGATGGTCCCCGGAGTCTGTATTGATGTATATACATGGTAGGCTTTTACTTACCTCAATCAGGTAGTCTCCACTGGAAGGAACATGCGCTCTCACATCCAAGAAAGCGTCCCTAACCCCCTCCACCAGTGCTAGAATATCCTCGTCACTGTCAGCACTGGTGATCCTGATGTTGTAATGAATGATGTCTCCTTGGGGAGGGTCAGGGGGAGCCCACACTAGCTGGTTGAGGTAGACACTTGAGCTGTTAGGAAACCTCACTGTACCCCCAACTGCAATAGATTTATACCAGCAGAATAATATTATTAACCCTCGGCGCGCATGCGCAGCGAGGGTTACGGTAGTTGGGTTTGTCTGTCTGTGTGTGTGTCTGTCTGTTACTCGTCATCTCACTTCTCGAGTGTTCGTTCGTCTCACAAAGGATACCACCTACTGAACGGGCAATGAAGGTCAGAAAATATGTGGGGTTTTCTCTGAAACTGCTCCGTTGCAGAGCTAGAGCGCGAAAAAGCTAATATGCAAATAGGCAACGGACGGGACGGCTTACCACGGTCTGATCGATCCGCGTGCTCTGCGTACCTCAGAGGCACCAGAAGATGCAACGCAGGGCGTGTATCGCCTCTCGCATGCTATCTAGTAGTGTAGTTAGCCCGCGTCAGACTCTGCGCGAGCTGGGAAGAGACCACGAGTAACAGCTAAAACTAAACCCAGCCCATCAATTAGTGGTACGGCGCATGCGTTTACTTACGCGTGCGCGTCACAATGCGCCGAGGGTTTGCACTTCAGTGCTTTTCATTAAACTTGTACTTCATTCTTATACAGTAAACGACTGGCAAACAATTAGATAGCCACTTTATAATTCCCCAATGGTGATATTTTTGCACAAAATAATT